CCATTATTTCCCTCTGAAGTTCTACATTATCCTGGATGCCTTTAAGATATACCAGATATCAGTCACTTGAAATTGAAATGATTTTTTAAAAAATGTACCCTTGAATGACAGTGTTTGTCCTTTAAGGTGAGCCATCATTATTCCATGAAATTAAAGTATATGAGTCTTTGCTTTTCTATGTTGAGAAGTTCTACTATGTCTTCAAGTGAAGAGATATACTTGTTCAGATTTTTGTCCAGTGCTGCTAAACACAGTGCTTGTAGCTTCTGAGGACTAGGCTTCACTGGGGGTAACTTGAGAGCTTCTCAGTTTAATCAAGTCTAATCTTCTCTTTGAATTTACCATATTTTTCTATGTATGTAGGAAATCTTTTGGTTAGCTCTTTTTCCTTTCTTGTAGGATGTTGGCTCTTTATTGGAAAGACAGTAAAAGCAGTAGAAACCAGAATCTCTGGGAAACCTGTGGAATATGGGAGCTGTTTCCAGCATCCAGACATTAGCAGGGCACAGCACAGATATCTCAGATTACTGGAAGATATTTTTGTGCAATTAGCAGGACCTCCATGGTTCGAAAGGGTATTGCAGCTCTGACTCTGGTTGCCAGTATTCTGTAAGCTAAACATGACTGCATCAAAGAACCCACAGAGTGTTCCATCTCTACCCCAAACATATGCCCAGCAATTAGGGCAGAACATCCAGCGGCTGGAAGAGGAGGAAGCCAGGTACTATAACATAATGCTCTGTAACTTCACTCTGCCTGTACACAAATGGAAAGAGATATTATTTATACAGTGCTTAAAGAGAAATGGAAAAGGCTGGATGCAGCCATTGGAACCAGCCTGTGAGCTGTGGTCACACTAAGGCCCCACCTGGCCCTACATCAGACCTAGAAGGGATCAAAGTAGTGCTGTGCTGTAATCCATTCCCTGCATACAAGCATGTCAGGGCATATTCGTAGCACAAGTTATTGCAGAGGGTTCTCATACCTACATTCTTTGGGGAAGTTTATTCTTCTGATTTAAAGTTTCCTTCTGCAGCTTAGAATTCAAATCTGCTTACCAATGTCACAGGAGTCTCCCTCCCCTGAAGATTCCTTCTTTCTTTAATGTTTGGTACATGAAGGGAGGCAGAGGCAGAGGACTGAAATTCATCAAATGCACTGACTTACTGAGCTAGATTTTACTTGTATGAATTCAGAAAAATCAGTGGGAATTGATAGTATCTTAACATTTTGTAGATTTTTTAAAACATTTTGCACATTTTTGTTGAAGCCAGTTTATTCCTGTTCAAAATAAGCATTCTTAGATAGGTAGACTCTCCTCCACTGGTAACTCTTTCCATTTGTGGCCTGCCATCTTCAGCAAGTAGCTCCCAAAGTTTCCCTGGAGTCAGTCTCCATCAAGCCATCTTCAGAAATATGCCTCGTGGAGACCCTCTGAGGCTGGAGCTGGTCCTTCTTGCAAACAAATTTGCCACCTTTTATTTCTTTATACAATATCTCATCCTACTATCTCTGTCAGATTTGGGCCCAGAGATTCATTGTCTATCCCCCAGGACTCTGATGAGTAACTTGTTCTCATTATCTCAATCCATAAGGGAATGATACAACCATCAATGGAGGTAGGCTTGGGGATTCTGAAGAGTGTCAAAGCTTGGGCTGCCAAGAGTCCTCTTTCCAGGATTTCCTCTATCTGTCTTCTATTCTTGAGGCAGAAAAGCAGAAAAAGGCCATTGGGTATCTATGGATAGACTCTACCTCAGTTTCTCCATGTCACCAGGAACATGGCAGCTCATGAGAAATATTTAAAGGAATGAATATTACATATTAATTGGTTTAGTTCTCCTGTAGTAAGGTGATGGAATCAGAATGGCTCTTAATCTCAGAATGCTAGCATTTAGCAACATGATGCCATATATATTATACATATATAGAGATACACACTAATGAAATAATGTGTGTGTATTCACATATATCCATATATGTAAGCACTTTATAGTAAGCACTGAATAAAAACTTACCAGCTAAATGCTGAAGCTAGTCCTGACATGTTTTTGAATATTTGACAACAATAGAGAGTAAGCAAAAAATGCAAAAAATTTAATAGAGAAATCATTATAGAGATATCAATCGTGTGTGTGTGTGTGTGTGTGTGTGTGTTTTAAGAAATCTGCAGTAAAAGTTTGGTTGTATAACTCTACTCATAATTTTTAAAAATATTTTTACAAATATTGTTGAACATAATACCTTTATTTTATTTATTTATTTTTATGTGGTGCTGAGGATCAAATCCAGTGCCTTGCACATTCCAAGAGGGCACTGAGCCACAACCCCAGCACCCCCATAATGTTTTTTAGCAATTTAATTTATGGCTTCTAGGTAGTTTTGAAAAATCCTAGTTACATGGTTGTATACTTTATTGTGCTTACCTCTAATGATGTAATGAGTAAGGGAAAGTGCTTTGCATATGATAGATTCTTTTTTTAAAAAAAATCTTTATTTTTGTTTATTTATTTTTATATGGTGCTGAGGACGAACCCAGTGCCTCACATGTGCAAGGCAAGTGCTCTGCCACTAAGCTACAACCGCAGCCCTGCATATGATAGGTTCTTAATGCATATTTGTTGATTAAATAAGTGAAAAATATTGGAATAGAAATTTGCAAGCAGCAAGTCATGATGGTTTATTATTTCATCCATCCATTCATTCATTCATTTGTTTCACAAAACAAATTGACTTCGCAGCGTACACCAGGCATTTTTTATAGACACTGAAAATATAACTGAGAATAAGACATGGTTTTCTCTTACAGGGCATATTCTAAAAGGGGTGGCAAGACAAAAACAAGCCAACAAGGAAATATCTAGCGGTGTTAAACTACGATGTGATAAAGGAGGACAGTGGGAGCTGGAGCCGGGGAAAGGAGCCTCTTGACAGGATCTATAGCTATACAGAGTTACAACCATCCCCAGAAGCACAGCACTGAAGCCCAGAGAGGGCAGGAAAGGGATATCCCAAACACTAGCATCTGTCCTCTGTTGCCTCTGTATCTTCCACTCAATGAATAGGCCAAAGAGTCTGAGTCTGGATGACGCAGCCCCTGGGGTCCAGGGCACATCAGACCACAGCAGAGAAACAGTATAATGACAGACACAAGGCTGGGAAATAAAAGGAGAATGTCCTCCAAATGGAGTCAGTTAGAAACTTTTACCAATTTTAAGCTCCTTGAGGGCAGGACCTGAATTGTTTACCTTTTTCTCCTCCACAGAAATTTGAAAAAAAAAAAAAAAAAAGCCTGTTAAATTTAATTGCACTTTGTAGGCCTGGTTGGCTCTACTCATCTAAATGAGAGTGTGAGAGTGCTCTGGGCATTAGTCACCTCCTGGGGATTCTGGTTGTTTACTGTCCCTGAGAAACAGAAAAAAAAAAAAAAAAGAAAATCTTGTTCAGGATGGTAAACTAGAGGCATGCTTGGTGTATGGTGGAGTGTGATGAGCATGTGCTAAACAATGAAAGAACTTTTTGCATACTTCTCTGCTACTCATATGAAGAACTGTGATAGAATAAAACATTTCTCAATTTGGAACTCAGCGATATTTGTCTCGTAACAGTAACTAGGTGTACATACTACTCTTTTAGACCCTACATATGTGTTCTTATCTTTCTAAACCATATGTATAGGGAACTTCTTCATATAGAATGAGAGAAATTAAGTCCAAAATGTATAATTCATTGTCAATCTTGTTTTGGAAGAGGTAAAGTCAAGAATTATTTAGAGAGCTTCTAGAAGTAGAGGGACCAAGACTGGGAGAAGTGAAAAGGACAACTGTTGATATTAGATGGGTTTCCAAGATGGTTTGTGAGGACAAGATTTGTACAAACACCTGAAGGTTTACTGAACAAATTTAATGCATGCTCTAGACCTATAAGGGCACTGAGTTGAGAAAATCTTGCTTCAAGAATTGTCTGGTCTTGTTCTTCAGAAGAGAAGAACAAGTATCAGAGGGGAGCTAAGTGTGTGACTTATGACCTGAGAAAGGGAGAGAACACCATTGGCATGGTGTGAGGAGAGCCAGAAAGGTATGTTTGAGGGGAGGCAGTTGACTGGCCCTTCTAATGCACTATCACACCACTCTAATAAGGGGAAAGGCTAGGGGTGGGCTTGATTATACTTGAGTCTTTAACCTTTCTACTAAGCTTGCCAAATACAGTATGTGCAAAATGGTCATTCCTTTGATCCATCCTAATATGTAATAAGTGTCATTTAATAATTTCACGTGTCTTGAACTGGTTAGATGTGTGTGAATAAGAGAGAAAGTGCAAACATAAAGGGAAGCTTGGAGTTACGTGAAAATTCAAAGAAAACTCAGAGACTCGGGCACGCGCTGATATGCTCAGAGCTGGGAATGTGACACCAGGTGTTTTCTACTTGGGGCTAGTCTTTTTACATGGTTATGAGGCTTGGAAAAGTTTAAGGAAAGTATTGCTGCCATTAGGATTTTTCTAGATATTATTAAGATGGTCTCAGCTGAATGTTATTATTTAAGGACTCAGATCAAAGGTTGAGCCCCTTATGTTGTTTACATTTCATTTGCTCATTTGGAAATTTGATGTGGATGATTAATGCTATGCTTCTGTACAATAATATGATTTTATTTTCTAAAAAGTTTCTTCATTGCAAACAATGATACAACTGAGTCTCGGTCAGGTTGGCTGTGATCATAGTGGAAAGGAGACTAGAAAATAACTTTAGACTGTGACTTCTAAACGATCAAGGCTGAGCGGGCTAGTTAGATTTTTGTCTTGAGCTACAAGACAAGGCATTACTGTTTTATGTATCTTTCCTTTATTGTTTTCAAGCCACTGTAACACTTTGTCAGTTATTTATCATTTCCTTTTGTCATCGTTGTTGTTTTGTTTAGGTGAATAATAATGAAAACTAGAGAAAAACCCCACCACAGTCATCACAGAAAGAATATTTAAAAACTTCCCACATTCAATCATTGACTAAGCTCTTATAGAATGCAGCTTTATTGATAGTGATGAGGTTACAAAATAACACTACCATACATTTTTGTTTGTTGTTCCTGATGAGATACCTGAATGTTTTAACCAAACAAAGAAATTTTCTACCAAAATTTGTTGAATATATAAAATACTTCTAGGAGTCTCCAAGATAAACATTTTATTTCAAATTTCCTGAAAGGGAAAATTAAATGGTCTTTACCCTCTAAGTGTGCTACAGGGCAAATCTTTAATATTTAGAGTCTTTAGTTCTCATAATTACCTAGAGAGGTATGTGTTTGAGAAATTATGCTATAGTGTTTAATCGATATGAAAAAATACTGAAATGACTTCCTTTTAATTCTGTCTTGTGCTGGAGAACATATTCATCCTTGGTTAGAATGTTTATTCAGCTCATTCAGAAATTACACAGATTCATTTGGTTGTAACTAAGAGAAAAGTAAATTAAATGAATGATTTTTGTCTCTTTTGTTTAGTAACTTGGATAAATTCTATAAATACTTTGGCAGGATAGCTAATGTGGGAAAACAAAAAGATCTTTTAACACATATTTCCAGGTAAAACTCTATTTACATATAGTTTGTAAAATATAGTTACTATAATTGCTATTCTGCCTTTAATTATAGACCATTTTGTCTGTACTTGCTTCCTTATTACCTCAATTATACCTCCTCACTCACAACACTCCACTACCATCTACTCATTGCACAAACTATATTCATCTGTGCCATCACCACTGACCTTCTATTTGTAACTATTCTTTCAACATAGGAAGTAAAAATAAAACTCATTCAGTGCACTGAAAGCAACTAATGCATTTGGTATCACAACCCGCCCCAAGAGTCTTAATTAAAAATAGACAAGCTACATTAAAGTCTGACTTCCTGGAGACTTTCTTATCAGGTCTCTGGCCTCATTCAGAAAAAGAAGCTTCAGTTTTATTGTTTCTGCTGCTGGGTAACACACTTGTTTCTGATCTATTGAACTGAAGTGTTTATTTAATCACAGGACTGAGGCATTACAAAACTAACATATCCTTTTCTTTCAGAAAAATCGAAGGAGGCACACAGTTGGATCCTAAGACTTGGGAGTGTAATTGAATACAAGCTTACACCAAAATAAAAAGTAAATTTTCATTTCAGAAGCTTGGAGACATTGTCCTGTTTTTCAGAAGCAGCTGCTTCCAAAGTGGGTTAAAGAATCTATCTCAGTTACACATGAAAAATGACACACATTATTTTGATTTGGCGTACATTCGTATCTTTCAGTTGGCAGTGGTGCAGTGTGTTCCAGGATTCAAAACTTTCACCAACCTTTATGTTCCACACTTCCTACTAACGTTATGTCAGGAAACTTCAGCCTTCTAAACTCGGTCTTCATTGATTTAACTCTTGAAGCAGATGATAAAACTATAACAAATCCAGAAACTTGCTCAGCCCAGGTATGTGTACTTATGAGTCTTCAGATAAACAGTGAGGACAATATTTTAAATGGTAATTTCAAATTATTTATCTGACTTTAAAGTGTCTCCAGTTTTATCCTTAGGAAGCCACTACCAAGTTTTTTCACAATCTATCTTAACAAGCTGTGATAGAAGAAAACGTTTCCAGTTTCAATATCCTCTCTTCATTCTTTTTAAATCATAAAAATCTTACAATTGATTGATAAATTCTTTTTTAATTTTGAGCCCTAGGTTCTTCACACAACATCTCTAAGATCTCAATGGGAAACATAACTGTTAGTGTGAATCAAGGAATTACCTCTCTTTGTCTACTGATCTGTAATCCACAATAAAGCACTTTTTTCCTTCTCAAAATTAACAATATACTATAGGCTTTTTAGTTTCATAAGTGTGTGTATACCAAGATACAAAGATGTTATGGTTACCTTCACACAGGCTTTGCAAGTAATAGCCAAAATAACTGATTAAAACTGAAAAGTTCATTTCACCCATGCTGGTTCAAAAACAAAAGGCTATATGTAAATAGGTTGTATCATTGGTAATTTAAGAGTTCAATAATTAAACTTACTTCATAAACTAATTCCTCGAAGAGCTTTATTTTCCAGCCTGGGCAGAAAAGGGGTCAAAGGAGCAGGTGCCATTAATCTGCTCCATACTTGATGAAATGCCTCAATTCTCTGTGTGGGGTAAGGAACTAGCCCAGTGTTTTCACACTAATAACATCTTGTTCTCAATTTGTAGTGTTTATGGCCTGTACCCAAGTGTTACCATTAAATACCCAGAGATAGAACTTTTCATGAGGGGCAATGATATAAAATTGTTCCACAAAGTGTACAACATGAACCACTTTTCACAGTTGAAATAAAATACAGTTGCCCCACAGTATCCTCAGGGAATTGGTTCCAGGATACCACTATCCATGGATGCTTAAGTTCCATATATAAAATGGCATAGTATTGTCATATAATCTACTCACATCTTCTGCTACATTACTTATAAGGCCTAATACAATGTAAATACAATTTAAGTTGTTACACTACTGTTTAGGGAATAGTTGCAAAAAGAAATAGTTTGAACATGTTAAATTCAGATGAAAAAATTTTTTTCAAATATTTTTCAATCCATGGTTAGTTGGAATCCACAGATGCGGAACAAGTGGATAAGGAGGGTCGACTGTATTTTAGATATACATAGTATAACTCTAGCAGTAATCTATCTACACAAGGTGGGAGAGGATGGGATTAATGAAAACCAAGTTATATCATTTATGTATCTCATATCTAATCCTTTAAACAGTTTATTTTTCAAAATCCAATTGCATATAACCTGTAATTGATTGCCTGCTTCCTCTCCAAAACAATAAACTAGCAAAGAATAAAGTCACAAATTATAAGATAGGAAAATATGTATCATTTACTACAATAATTACCTTTTCCCCAAACTCAGCAAATATGTAAGAAAAAAATGATAGCAGGTGGATGTGCTTTGATTACAAAGCTAATTTGGAGTAAATGAGATTAATAAAACAGAATGGGCACATATTATTTTATATTTCTATGTGAAATGAATGTGTTACATTTTTAACTGAAATCAAGGGAGTAGATATGAAATGGGAAACTATGGTATTTACCAACAGGAGAACCCATTCATCCTAGTTATTGCCAAATCCAAGAATTTCAAATATTTCCCTCATTCTTGTTGTATAAGAGTGGGCCAAATAAAATTATTGTTATCAGTTGTGTAACCTTCAGGCTAAGCTTTAAGTTAATGGTCTTTAAAAGCATAGTTTTATTTGACTAATATCAATTCCTTCTTTAAGAGTAGGATTTTATGACAAAATATCCTGGGGCCTGAGGAAAGGAGTAAAAGGAGAATCACAGCTAACCCTGAGGTTCCACCGACCTGCCGGATTTTGAGTAGAATCTCTGTTCCATTCTGGTCTGACTATGTTTTAAACTTTATGACTTTGTCATGGGATACCTTTCAAAATCCTTTATTGATTCAAGTATAGTAAAAGAAACTGTGTTGAAATACAGAATTAAGTCTTCATGGATACAAACGATTTCCATTTTAAAATAAAATCTACAAATGATTATTTTCAAATTCTTAAAGTAAAAAAGAGGGAGAACAAAACTCTAGAACACAAAGTTGCTCACTCACATCAGCTTCATGTGTACCAAAGTACAGAAGAAAAATTTCAAATGTGGGTAGTAACCGCTATCATTTAGGACACAAGCCACGTTGGAAGAGTGCCTACAACAAACTGTGTCTGCCTGCCACCCAGCGGCTGCTGAAATAAACTTATTTCTTTCGTTGGCCAGCCCTGTATTCTGATTAAAAAAAAAAATAGAGGTAGATTATGCCATACCAAGGATTTAAAGCCACCAAGACACATGCCTAGATATATTTTAAAACAATAATTGTAGTAAATGTTATATATTTTCCTTTTCTTAAAATTCCAAGTTTAACCACGTGGCTCTAAGAATAAATACGTGTTCTTCCTGCGTCCCATCTTAATCTACCTGATTCAGATGCTGACCGGCACTGAGGACACCGAGCTGGCTCGGGATTCCCGAGTCACGCTGTTTGGCATCGAGAGGGTGCAGCAGGACACGCCCACGGTGGCCTCAGGCAGCTCGTCGTCCTCTGTCCACTCGTTGAGCTCGGGGTTGAAGCACTGGATGCACTTCTTGTACTTCTTCTCGCCCTCGTTCCAGCCCCCTACTAGGTAGGCGCGACCGTGCAGCGCTGAGGCTCCTGCGGTGCTCACGCCCACGAGCAGGGGAGCGGCGTAGCTCCACTGGCCGGTGGCGGGGCTGTAGCACTCTACGGTCAGCACGTCCACCCGTTCCCCGCGCGGCCCTACCTGGCTGCCCCCCATCACATATACCCTGTCGCACAGCGTGACAGCGCAGTGCCAACCTCGAGGCGTGCTCAGGCCAGGCAGCTCCTGCCATGAGTCGCGGGCCGGGTCGTAGGCACACACAGAGCGAGAATACGCGTTGCTGATGTAGCCGCCGGTCACTAGCACGCGGCCATCAGCGACCGCGCTGGCGTGGCAACAGCGCGCCACCTCCAGGGGTGTCTTTGGCTGCCACTGATTCGTGGAGGGAACATAGCACTCCAACGAGGCTAGGCTGCCTTCTGCGTTGCGGCCTCCCACAGCGTAAAGGAGCCCGTTGAACACACTCAGGCTGAAGTGCGTGCGCTTGTGGTTCATGCTGGCCAGGTGTATCCAGGTGTTAAAGCGGGGATCATATCTGGAAAAGGCAGAGGGCAGAGGAAGAATGATAACTTTGTAGGAGATAACCAGGAACCCATGTTACCCCGCAAACCTTCAGATGGGAATCCAGACACTATCCCTGCAAGGAACTGAGGGATCTGGTCCAGTTTCTCCAGAGGCTGGAGAGGCTGGTGCTTGTCTGTCAGCCAGTAAAAAGGTGTGGCATTTGGGAAAGGCAAGGCAGGCTCTATTGACAACCGCCCCCGTCCCCAATTCATTGGTAAGACCATTCCCTTTATTTAGCTGCTTGGAGAAGAGCCCACAGTGACCTGCCCTTCAGACCCCTTTTCTTCATAAACTATATCGATCATCCATTGGGATTTATGAGATGTTCATGTGAGGGAGATGGAGGAAGCTAAGTATCAGAAGATCAAATTCCACAGTAAGTCAATTCGCCTGTCTTTGTACACCAACCATCCCTAGCTTACTTTCACTGCTTGCTTAAGAGAGGAATTGACTCATGAGATTCTCTATTTCCCAGAAACCTCTTATAGGTACACCTGTCTTGGCTATTGCCACAGCAAAGCTAAGCCACTCAACCAAATCTGTGTTCTGTTGAAATGAGACTGTGGAATTTGTGTCAAAAAGCTTCAACAGATCCTTAACTTTTGATACTATTTTATGTTCCACCACTAATTATGAGGTAAAATTTTTTCATATATTGAAATTGGTTTTTGTGTTCAGGACTAATGTTTTATAAACACCGAAATAAATACTGGAAAAATAGTGACTTGACCTTTATACTAATAGGAAATCAGTAAGAAGAAAAATAGCAGTCATAATGAACTGATGCTTTCTTTTTGCATAGTTCAAAAGTAATATGAATGCAGAATTCACTCCTTCAGTTTGATGTTCATCTTTGTCTCATTTAAATCACAAATAAAAACCTAACCGTAGCCAAGGGGTGGCAGATGCCTGTAATCTCAGAAGTTCAGGAGGCTAAGGCAGGAGGATGGAGAGTTCAAAGCCAACCTCAGCAACAGCAGGATGTGGTTCAGTGGGTAAGCACCCCTAGGTTCAATCCCTAGTACCAAAACAAACAAATCTCAACAAAACAACAAAACAACAACAACAACAACAAAAACCCTAACTGTATTTATAAATTAAAGATTAAAAATCAATAGTTTGGGAGATTGGGGTTGTGGCTCAGTAGTAGAGCACTCACCTTGCACATGTGAGGTGCCAAGTTTGATCCTCAGCACCACATAAAAACATAATGAATAAAAATAAAAGTATTGTTTCCATCTACAACTAGAAAATTTAAAAATTTAAAAAAATTTTTAAAAATCAATTATTTGGAGTCTCAAATTATGCACACCTATATAATGAAATAATTAAGAATAGCTTTCAAGAAATACTGTACAAATTTTCTGATCTTGTTCATTAGTTGTTTGACTTTATACTACAGTCATGATTTTAAAATGACTGCATATTTCATATGCATGAAAGGTTTTTTGTCATAAGTGTACAAAATAATATTGCATTTGGATTTTGTTCTTAAGCATGCATTATGTTTTTACTTTCTATATGTGTCAAAATATTGGCATTTTCTACATTATGCAGTCTTTGAATATTTAAAATTCATTAGCTACCACATTTTAATAATCTCATTCTATTTGCCAATTATGAATCTGATACTTGTCAGCATCAGTAACTTAAAAGAAATTGTTTATTACTTTATTATTTCTTACCTTTTAGTGTCAAAAACTAAATTTGTAGCTAATTTATTTAAAAATTCAGTATATTATGAATGGTATCTTGATTAGAAATGAGAAAATGTGACAGGTGGTGTGACTTCTCTGGGTATTATGATTTTTGTTTTGTTTTTGGTACTGAGGCCTGAACTCAGGGGCGCTTCCTAGCTCTTTTTTGTATTTTGTTTAGAGGCAGGGTCTCACTGAGTTTCTTAGGACCTTGCTAAGTTGTCAAAGCTGGCTTGAACTTGCAATCATCCTACAGGCATGCACCCAGCAGTATTATATTTCTTATATACAGAATCAGAATAATCATATCTTCCCTGCCCATATCACTAACTAAGCCAATAGGCATGATTAACTTACTTCTATGTCCAGGAAATTTCCCCATAATAATAAATCATTTCAGTTCCCACTAAAAGATCAAGTACCTGCAGAAATTGCTGACTGCGTGCTTGGCTTGATTTCTTGCATCATTCTGATCTTCACCGCCAGCTACATAAAGAAATCCATCCATCACAGCCACGCACTGATTAAAACTCTTGGCCGGCATTTCTGTAAGCTTACTCCATCCATTTTCAGGGTCTCTATACAAAATGTCTCTACTAAGGGACTTCTCTGTAAGACCTGGGCGTCCTCCAACCGTGGCAAGGACTCGGCAGCCCCCTCGGATTCTTGTTCGCCTAGACTGCAATGTGTTTTGATGATATGGAAGTAAGTGGTAGTTCATAGCATCTACAAGAAGTTTGTGACAATCGGCATCTTGCATCATTCTTGGTACAGACTGAACATAATTGACCAGGTCTTGTGCAGAGATGGTACCAAAGCGAATATTGCTCAAAAGATCCGCAGCATGTTTCACTCTCTTTTGGTCAAATTCTAACCATTTCATTGCAATCTGGAATGCTACTATCTCAGAAGGCAACTGTAAGTCATCATCTATAAGAAGCTCATTAATTTGCTCAAATGTAAGTTTCATAAATTGATCTGATTCTGCAAATTCAAGGAAGTTATCCCGGATAAATTTCTGGGATGCTGCCTTTGCATTTTTCAGGGAGTATGTCTCAGCAATATTAACAATGTACATACAATTCTCAACACTAATCTCCCGAATCAGAAAATCACTGCACATCTTTACAAGAGTATGGATCTGAAGATAAACTGCGGCAGAAATAATGCTTCCTATTGTATACAAGGAGAGGGTCAGCTTTCCAGTGTAGGCATATGCAATGACAGTGGCCAGGCCCAGAGGTGAGATGTCATTGAGATCCACTCTTTGAGTTGATGGGTCTTTTTTTAGGATGTTGTAAAAGTATTCACTGCATGAAGCCATCACTGATTTATGAACATCAAAGGATTTGGTTTTGGTACCAATGACTAGGTCACAGAGGAAACTCTCCTGCCGCATTTTACTTAGGCCTTCTAAGAGGTTAGGGCCATAAGAAGCATCTGTTAATTCAGAAGAAATACAGCTAAGGCCATTGCCTCCCTCTAGGAGCCCGTTCAAAGCATTCAGTTTGTTTAAGGGGCTATCTTCTACAATTATAGTCATCTCATTGATATCTGCTTTGTTCTTTTTGATGGTCTTCTTTTTGGGTGCCATGTTGGCAAACACACTATCACAGGCAAGAGCGTGCTAAAAGAAAGAAAAGAAAGAATGAGCTTGTTTTATGTTACGTGTGCTTTATATTTTGAAACACTACACTGAAAAACTTTTCACAAGATAATAATTTCTTAAACTGTTAAAGTAAATTAGCCTTCAAAAAGTAGATCAATTCTCAAAAATAGATTTAAAGACACATTAAACTAGTTACACATTCTATTGACCGTTTACTGCTGCATAAAGTATTGAAAATGATTCAAGAAAGATTCATTTTATGAAATGAGATTTCTCAGTAGGTATATTACCAAATAATTATGCAATAGAAATGAACAATTCATTTTTGATCCAACTATACAATAATTCTAGAATAGTAGTTTACTCTCATCAAAAAGTTAATTATAACTACCTTGAAGGTTTTTCTCAATAAAATACTAATGTTTAGGAAACTATTTAAAATTAGAAAAACATGATGAAAAGATTATTTTATTCATAATAGCAATGAAACCTATTACAGATTCTTGATGAGGATTTAGTGATATGCACTATAGGATTTTGCTGGAGGACTTAAAAGAAATTGCTACTCTTCTATTGTGTTTGTCCCTTTTTCTTTCCATGTAGGAGGAGAGCAGCAGGTAGGCAGTAAGCAGAGAAGGTCTTTTTTTGCCAGGACATTTGTTTTTCTTTCTCAAATCATCATATTCACATATTTCTTTAAAAGGCTAGCAATATATTCTTCTTCATTCCTCTTTGCAAACAATGAAAAAATGTGTTCTTACCTTGTGAGATAGATAGTGAACCCACCTTCATTTTAGAGTTTAAATGCATTTGATTTATGTGTTGAGTGTCCCCATGTTGGATTTTCTGTGGGAAATTTTTAAATATTTTGTTCAGCAAGCAGTTATTAGATGTCTGTGTTGTGTTGGCAGTAATTTACTGGAAATGACGGAGTAGTACAAGATGTAATTTATGTTAGAGAGATAAGACATAACAAATACAAAATGCTAACAAGGAGCTAAGTTTGCAAAGCAGAGTAAATCTGGGGGAAAAGTTCTGTCTGTGCTCCTGAAAGAACCCAAATGGCTTTTTTTTTTTTTAATGCAGTTCTAGGGCATAGGGCTTGTAAACACCATTGTTTTAGATGAAATCATGAACCTGAGGAGTAATTTGAGTTCATAAGACCAAAAAGCTAAATAGTTTATACATCATTAAAAGGTTGTTTTGTTGGTGGCATGTGGGGGTGATATTTAAAATATAATAACTGATAAATCAGGGTATCTACTAATCAGAATGGATTCGGGTGACAGGGCTGGAGCTAGATCCCAGGGGTCCCTGGGGGTTTCTTTGCAGTTCTTCAACTTAATGGATTATGAGGCCCAAGGGGTCCTGGGAGAGGGCTGGGAGTGGGAAGGGCTCCAGAGAGGCTTAGGAAAGCAGCTGGTTGGCTATTTTTTATAATTCAGTTTGTTTAATATACAAAATATTTACAAAGAAATCTCAACTATTTCAACACAGTGATGTGCTGGGACTATGGAGGAAAAGGATCCAGAGACTTCCTAATGAAGGAATGATTGTGGACTCTGGGAGCAACAACATCTGATTTCTAGTTTTAAATCTTCCTTTTCTACCCTGTTCCTCTTTATGTCATCCTTAAATGATGTATCTCCAAGTATCCTTAATAAAATTTTATGAATTATTGGCCAGTTCACTCTGCCTTTAGGAATATCATATCAGGATTACCACTATAAGATAACTGGGGCTGGTGGTGGGGAGAATTAGAAGGAACACTGAAAGACGCTAGGAATTGTAAAAAAGGAGAATGATTTTTTTTTTAGGAAAGTCAGCGGTTAGAAAAGGAAGTAACAGGATGAATCTCACTCCCACCAACACACATGTTGACTTTTTTGTGTTGCTTTAACTCTAAAGGCAGGCTGCAAATAGTGCTGTGCAGGAGAGCTATGACTACAACAGAAAGTATTTCTGGTTCAAGAATTAGAGGACAGAGTTTATGGGCAACCATGTTCACTGGAAAGCAAGGTGGGAATTCTGGAAAAGAGACATTCAGAAAGGAGAAACCCAATAGAAACTTGAATCTTCAAGAGCTTCAGAGATGATGAATAAATGAAAGAATATGGAAGATTATTTTCTCCCTAAATTTGTTTCAAATAAAAACATGACTCTTCACAGTAAAAGTGATAACATTATCGTGTAAGTTTTACAATGTGTGCAGATGTTGTATATATGAAAATTACAACATAAAGGAATGGGTGACACTGGTGGAACAAAAAACTAAACAATTTCAAAATGTCCTTTTATTTTTTCTTTTGCAGTGCTAGGGATTAACCGAGGCTTTGCACATGCTAGGCAACCACTCTACCATTAGGCTAGATCCTCAGCCTGGCTTCCATATTTTATATGAAGTGATTCATTTGATATTAACTTCTGTCATCTGTGCAAATTTAACTTTGCATATTGTAATACCTAGACTGGCCTATAGAAATATAATATAAGCCACATATGCAATTTAAAGTTTTCTAGTAGTCATGTTAGAAAGATAAAAAGCAACAGATGAAATAATTTTAGTAATACTTTTATACAACCTAATCAATATAAAATATTGTTTCTCCATGTAATATAAAATTATCAGTGTGATATTTTATATTTTTTGCAATAAGTATTTGAAATACCAGGTGTATTTCATACCTGCAGTTCATCTCACTTTGAATTAGCCACATTTCAAGTGTTCAGTAGTGACATGTGAATGATGACTATTGTATTGGAAAATAGAGACCTAGAACGAGCACTTAAAAAATGCAAAGTAGCCTGTAAAACCAGTAACTAAATTTAAATGGAATCAAACAAGGACAGGAAAGTTAGAACACAAAAACACAAATTGGAAAGGACAGACATAAACCAATTTAATAATAAGTCTAAATTCAATCATATCTGTAATTGTATTAAATATCAATGGACAAAGCATTCTAAGTAAAAGACACAGATTGCCTGAATGGATAGGAAAAGGAAGATTAAAACATTCTGTCTACAAGAGACAGACACAGAGAAGTAGAAAATAAATGTGTAGAAAAGGCTTTACCATGGTAATAAATATAAGAAGGCTCTAGTGGTTATATTGGTAGCAGATAAAATAGATTTCAAGAAAAACCTTGTCAGTGACAGATGGAATTTTAAAATGATACAAAGATCAATTCAACATGAAGATGTAACGGTCTTAAAAATTTATGTGCCTACTAACAACTTCTATAACAAGTGACAGAATTATAGGAAGAAATAGACAATTTCAAAATTATACTTGAAAATGTAAACTCAGCAATTGATAGAACAACTAAACAAACAAAAAACCCTCAGTAGCATTATAGATTATCTGAACAACATTATTAATCACTTTGACTTAGAACATTACATCCAACAACTGAAAAATATAAATTCTTCTGAAGTGCACATTGTTCCTTTACCAGGTCACCTCCTGTGTTTGGCCACAAAATGAGTTTCTGCAAATTTAAAAGCCAGGCAGAGTACACTATCTAATCACAAAGGAACTAAATTAGAAATAATAAAATAAACTATTGTTATTACTAATTACTGTTAAATAGTATGCTTCTAAATAGCTCTTGAATCAAAGAAGAAATTAGACAATATTTTAAATGGAATGATAATGAAAATATAATATAAATACCAACTCTACTACTTATTCAAGTATGACTCTTGGTAAATTACCCAACCTCTCAGAGTTTCTGTTGACTTATCTCTAAAGTGAAGAAAATAATTGTGCCCACCTCATAATGTTGCTAGTGAAAGAAAGATCTGAACAACATTTAGTAGAGTACCTGGCAAAAGTGAATGCTCAAAAACATTGATCCAATTTCACTGAAAGCAATAGCCTTGTTAGTTGTGTCTTTGTTAATAAAGGAAGAAAACTGTTTAAGCTTCGGGGTAAAACAAATCAGAGAAAGCCACCACATGGTGGAGAAATAGTAATGAGGAACAGGGGCAATAAGGGTCATGCACATGTAGTGACCTAGAATGAGGGTTGGAAAACAGCAACAAGGAAGAGATTTCTTGAACATACTTCTAGGGATTTGGAAAATACCAGGGAGAGAAATGAAATTCATGCAATTACACTGGCTTAGGAGCAGAATATTATTATTTTATGAGTGGCAAGGATAACTCTGGAAATTTAGAAAACTGGGATGTTTGGTTATAGATTAAGTATGCAAAACCCAGAATACATGGAACATATTGAGTCCACTGATGTGCTTGGAGTTAAGGGTTAAAACTAAAGAAAAGATTGAATGGGGTGATGTTAGGATGAGAAGGTTTGCAGATAACCTAAGTCTTACTGAAGGCTTTTATGAGTAGGTATGTAAGGGAGAAGGTCAACAAAAGTGGAGGAAATGCCTCAAGCTGAGGCAAGGAGGCACAACTCAGCATGCTGTACATGGACTCAGATGGTGGGGTTCACTAGGAAAACATCTGGCAAGTAATGTTAGGTCTATAAACATAGGATGTGGGAGGCAGGAAGGGTTTGAATTTGATAAGTTACTGTGTATTCAGAAGTATTATGAACTCACCAGCAAAGGAAGGGTGACCTGAAGCTAGACAAAGTAGTGAAATCAGTTAAAATTCTCCTTTAAGTTTCTTTCTCTTATTTCCTGTTGATGCTCCTCTTTCTTCTGTTGTCTGTCCTTCAGGCTGCTCCTGGGGTTTCCTCTTACGAGCTGACCCTGGACTGCTGCACTCATGGGAATTTCTATGAATCTCTCTTTATCTAAAACATTCTTGCCCTTAAAACATTTCTCTAGGGCTCCACTGGATGATGCATTAGCTAGTCTTATGAATCCAAGCTAATCAGTTAATAGGCAAATCTACTCTACCTCTCAGATATGCATGGTCTTTGGTATGTTTTGTTTTGTGTAAGTATGTATTTTTCTATTACTCACGTATACATTTCTAAGAGAGTAGCCTTTTCTTAAGAGCCCATAAAAGCACAATGTAGAGGTAGCTGACTTCTTTAATTCTCTATGGGAAAAGCAGAGGAGAGAAATAGGCAAGAGACTATTTACAAGACTATTGACATCAGAGCCCTGTAGCCAACTTCCTGATGGCCATGTTTTCCTAGATAGAAATCCAGTCTTTATTTATAGAACTGCCATCACATCCTACTTTGGGGGCTGCACCTCTCAGGTGAGGCTATCTGTTCACCTGTTGAGGTATTCTCAGTCTGTGCTGTGTTAGTGGATGAAGGTCCCTGTAGATCCTTCAGAGGAACCTGAGGATCAGTGTCTTCTTTGAAGCTGGGAAATGCTCAGATGTTGTTATCAAAGCTGCAGAGATGTTCACTGGTTCCTGTGTCCCAGTAAATGGTTTCCTCTGTCCTGTTCCTCCATTTCCCAAAATCCACTCCTTTTCTCAACTTAAAGAGGACTACAGGCCAGTAAAATGAATAAGAAGAGCAGCTGCACCCTGATTTGGGCCCTGTTACACAGAAGACTAGCTCCCTTCAGGGGAGATCAGAGCCCATAGAAAGAAAAAAGAAAACAAAGACAGGGAATCCTCCAGGAGACTCTCCAGGCTCCTCTCACTGGAGTCTTTCTGGGAAGTACAGACACCATATGTACTACACTGGGTGCACAAGCATGTGCACACACACACACATACACACACACAGTCACTTAAGCAACCAGAACTTTCCTTCAAACAGGTAGAAGTTAAAAGAAGGGCAGTCTCAAAGAAGTTATAAATAGGAGTATGAAAGGAAAGTGGAACAATTTAACTCACTTTCATTTACTCATTTGGTCATGGTGCTGGGCTTTGAGGCTGATTGTATGGGTTAATTAAGGGTGATTGGAAAATAATTGAATATTTTTAAAAATTATTACTCGGTAACTAGGTCATATGTAAGCATGTAGTCAAGAGTAATTGGTATAAGAACTCTCATTGCTTTTTTCTACAATTACACAAGTGTTCACAATGTACCCTTGATTCATATTGTAGATGGTCACCAATGATAGTCACAATGACAGTCAAAATTTGTCTGCCAGGAAAAGGAGTTACAAAAATTATATATATATATATATATATATATATA